TTGGTGGCCACAGCTCTGGAGAAGAGGAAAATTATTGTAGGCCTCAGAGCTCGCGTCTCTCTCATTAATACTTCTTATTCCTGGGGATCTGCACTGCTCTGGTGAGTTATTGTTAGGTCAGAATTCTCCTTACCTGCTGTGCTGAGAAGGCACACACCGCATAACGGAGGTACGGAGCGGAAAATGAGTGAGTCAGAACTCAGCCTTTACAATTTTCTGCTCGTACTGTGCATTTCCCTGCACTGCTTCTCACTGGTTCGTATCATGTGGATAATGAAGTGTCCAGAATGGACCACAGCACGCTTGCTGAAGCTGCCTGGATGGCATTTGTGTCATCCTTCTGCAATTCAGCATGACACTGTCACAACTTTGGATACTGGTCAGCATTAAACGATGCCATCCTTTCCAAGGGGATGGAGTTCAGCGAGAGCAGGGCAGGCTGACAGGGCAAGGGCAGCACGGAGCCCTGCACCTGGGGAGGAGCAGCCACACACTTCAGTGCAGGCTGGGGGCTGAGCTGCTGGGAAGAAGCCCTGCGGAGAAGGACCTGTGGGTTCTGGTGGCCAACAGTTGGCCAACGGTTGACCAGTGGTTGACCAATGGTTGACCAACAGTTGGCCAACGGTTGACCAGTGGTTGGCCAATGGTTGCCCAACAGTTGGCCAACGGTTGACCAGTGGTTGGCCATTAGTCAGCAGTGTGCCCAGGTGGCCATGAAGGCCAATGAGACCCTGGAGTGTGCTGCACGTAGTGTGGCCAGCAGGCAAGGGAAGTCCTCCTCCCCTCTTCTCTGCTCCAGAAAGGCCAAAGCTTGAGCATTCCTTCTCTGGAGATCATCAAACCTGCCTGCAGATCTCTCTTATCTTCTTCCCAGTCTGACTTCAGCTGGGAACATCTAGCTGTCCCCTCATTGCCGGCACCATGCTGGGACCCCTGAGTGTGCACTGAGCACCGCAGAGGTGGCAGTTCCACGAGGAAAAAATTGTCTCAGAAGCTGTAGAGCAGCCAGAGGTGCCGTGTCCAGGTTTGTGTCTCAGGAATTGTTGGAATTCAGCCCACCGTGTGCAGCAGGGAGCAGCTCTCAGGAAAGCTGGGCAGTGTTTTCTTATGGCCCAACATCCCTCTGGAGATGGGGCCCATTACACAGGGGTTTGATTTAGCAGTATATGTAATTTACAGCACCAGCAGAAGTGGCAGCACAGCACGGTAGTTGCAACTTCTGGCACAGTACAGATGTGGTTCTCTTCACCAGTCTCTGTCCTCTGCTCTCCGTTATGGCACTGGGTGTCCCAAGTCGCCAGGAGGGGACAGATGAGCTGAAAGCACTTCAGATGGAGTTCTTTCTTTTACTGTTCAGTTCTGTGTTGGGTTTACCCACGTATACAGTCCCTCCCCTTGTATTGGTCCATATATAGAGTCATAGGCTCACAGAGCATTTTGTTTGGAAAAGACCTCTAAGATCATCTAGTCCCACCATCCACCTACCACCAATAGTTCCCCACTGCCCACGTCCCCAAGTGCCACATCCCTGTGGTCACTGAACACCCCAGGGATGGGGACTCCCCACTGCCCTGGGCAGCTGTGCAGTGCTGACCGCTCTCTGCAGCACAGGTTGTTCCCAGTCTCCAACCCGACCCTCCCCATTGCACCCTGAGCCCATTCCCTCCTGTCCCACCCCCATTCCCTGCGGATAGAGATCAACCCCTCCTTCATCCAGCCTCCTTTCACCAGTGGCACAGAGCGCTGAGTTCTCTCTGAGCCCCTCTGCCCCACACTGCCCCATCTTTCTCCCTCAGCCACTCCCCCCAGCACTGTGCTGCAGACACGGTGCAGTGCTGGCTCTGTGGTTATGGGGGCCATGTCAAAGGCCTCGCTAATCCAGACAGATGACATCAGCAGCCCTTCTCCCACCTGCTGGTGCACTGACACCTTCACAGCAGCCATGGGTTGGTCAGGCAGGACCCACCCTTGGTGCAGCTGTGCTGGTCGTCCCGTATCACTTCCTTAGCACAGCTTCCAGGAGCCTCTGCCCCACGTTTTTCCCCAGCACAGAGCAGATGCTGGCAGGCTGGGAGTTCCCTGGGCCATCCTTTCCACCTTTCTTAAAAGTGGGTGCTTCTGCAGCCAAGGAGCAGCCATTGGCAGAATGAAGCTGTGCGGTGCACTCTGAGTTTGCCTTGGAGTTTTTTTAGGAGTGCCCCATCCATTGGGTGTGTTTGAAACACATTGGGCAAAAGGTTGTCTGGCCCTGTGGGTACCTTTTATGGATTGAATCATAGCACCAAAGAATTGTGAAGGTTGGAAAAGACTAAGGTGTCCACCACAACCCAACCAACTTTACGGGGTCAACCCAATGGGATCGGCCACCAGCCACCAGCCAACCAAACCCAAGCTACAGGGATGACCCTGTGGGGTCAACCACCACCCAACTGAACTCTATGGGATCAATTCCATGGGGTCAACCACTACTTCTAAGATCCCCAGTCCAACCCCAACCCATCCCACTGACCTTGTCCCCAAGTGCCATATCCCCGTGGTTCCGGAACACCCCCAGGGATGGGGGTTGATGTGACCCAAGTGGAGGACCCAGCATTAGGTTGAACTTCATCCCATTGGCCTCAGCCCATCAATGCAGCCTGTCTGGACCCCTCTGTAGAGCCTTCCTGCCCTCCAGCAGGTGGGCTCTTCCTCACAGCTTCATGTTTTCCTCATCCCTGATCACAGGGAGATACAAACAGCTGAAAATCCACGTTTCCCATCTGTCCTTTGAGTGACCAGCAGAAGCCCCAGCAGCCAACCAGAGCACCAGGAGGACGGGGACATGCAGGGCCCCACCAGATGTGCCCCGGATCTCCTGGGGACGCGTGCTCAGGCAGTGCCATAACTGCTGGAGGAGGGGCTGAGGTCCCACTTTGCACTACAGGGTCACAGTGCCCCACTTCTGCACCTCTGTGTCAGAGTAACCTAAAAAACACGAGAGCTGCTGCCCTGCAGGATGGACGTGTTGGGATGATTAAAAATGAAACAGCACAGGCGTGTTCTGTCAGCATTTCTGTTCTTTATTTGGAAAGGAGCAGGGCGATGTGCACGTATCACATGCAGATGATGAAATATTTTCCACACCATTAGTAACCGAAGCTGTCAGCATCTCCCAGGTGGCGATTGTTCAGTTTGGGTGTTTTTTCATTGTAGGATGCTGGGGGATGCCAGGGGCTGGCAGAGCTGGGGAGGGGCAGAGACCGTCCCTGACAGCGGCACGCTGGTAGTGAAGGCAGCTGATAAAAAATTAAAGAGTGGAATATAATGAACACCATAAAATCTCATAGAACAGGCATGATTTCATTCTTGGAGGCATCAGATTTGTTTGATAAAGATCTCTATTTAGATGTAATAGATTTTTGTGGGGCTTTGTTTACTAAAAAGCCCATGTTACACAAAATGAGTGTGGTCTGCTGAATGAGGGGTCCTGATGGGAAGCTGCCTGTAAGAGCTCAGCCCTGACTGCTTCTTCTGGTGGCCTCTGCAGGGTTGGTCCTGGACCTGCTGCTGCTCAGGGCTCTCTTGAACGTTGTAGAGCATCAGAATTCAACGCGGGCAACTGTAGGGTCCTGCACCTGGGGAGAAACAACATGTGGATCAGTACAGGTTGGGGGCTGATGTGCTGGAAGGGAGCTCCAAGGAGAAGGACCTGGTGGTCAACGGTTCATGAACAGCTGAAGAATGATTGACCAGTGGTTGACCAACAGTTGACCAACGGTTGACCAATGGTTGACCAACAGTTGACCAGCGATTGAGCAACAGTTGACCAATGGTTGACCAGCAGTTGACCAGTGACTGACCAATAGTTGACCAGTGGTTGACCAACGATGGACCAGGTGTTGACCACGAGCCAGCTGCGTGCCCTGGTGGCCCAGAAGGCCAATGGGGATCCCAGGGTGTATTGCACAGAGCGTGGCCAGCAGGGCATGGGGTGGCTCAGCTGCAGCACTGAGCCCAGTGTGGGGCTCCCCCAGTTCCAGGCAGACTGGGAACTGCTGGGACAGCCCAGCAGAGATGATTGTGTGTCACAATAACCCACATACTTCTAATTACGTAAACAACAACAGCGCAGTCTGCTCTGACAGTATTAGTAAAAGCTCCTTAGGCTTTAAGACGAAACGTCTCCTGCTGGAGTCGGAAGAGACAAAAAAGGAACGCTCGTGAGATGCCCAATCCTGCAGCTCTGGGGACAGCCCCATCTTTTGGTCTGTGCTGCTTCCAGCGCCGGGTGCTGCGGTGCAGAGGCAGTGCTGGTGGTGAGGGGTGCTGTGCAGCGAGGGCGTCACAAGAAGCAGCACCTGAACTCTGATCTCATGCTGGTTCAATACAGGAGCAGGTGGGGGAACTGTTGGTGTAGGTTTTTTTCTGTCTGTTTTTTTTTTTTTTTCTTTAAAGCAGTGGCAGTTACTGAGCAGTTGGAGCAAACATGCAGGGGTAGGGCTTAAATTCTTCATCTCTATCTCCTGGTGTTGACACCTGAGGCCTCTTTATATCCAAGCGGTTTCAAGACCAACTTCTGTCTTGAAATCGGGGAAAATTGAATGTAGCATGGGCTTCCCAAACACTGCCAACATCTTCACTCCTGGGAGCCTAAATAATAGGCACAAGCGCCAACACAGATGCTTTTACTCTTTGTAGTCAATCACTCCTCTCTTATTTGCCATCACTGATTTTCTCATTTCAAGAGTGCTGTCAGTCCTGGGACCGTTGCAAAAGTCAATGCCAAAACGTGCCAGCCTGCCCCTCTTCTTTCACCCCGGGGCTGGAGCCGAACGCAGCTCCTCCAGCTGCAAGCCAGCCCAGCTGTGCCACCCCCACTCCAGATGCTCACAAAGGAGCTCAGGGTGCCGTGCAGCCCCTGGCTGGGTTGTGTGCATGCAGCTGCACGCTGGAGGAGCAGAGATGCCGACCCATCCGCACCGGCGCCGCTGCCCACGGCTGCCTTTCTCTTTGCTGCCCAGGTGAACGGAGTCAACGTGGTGAAGGTGGGGCACAAGCAGGTGGTGTCGCTGATCCGCCAGGGGGGGAACCACCTGGTGATGAAGGTCGTCTCCGTCAGCCGCAAGCCTGAGTCAGAAGAGGTCGTTCGGAAGAAGGGTAGGTGGAGGGGGCTGGGCTGCTGATGGGGGGCTGAGCTGGGGGGGTGTTGGGGGCAGAGGGGGCTGCATTGCAGGGCTGCGTGCGTCACACTCTTGTGGGCAGGTAAACCTCTGCAGCACAGAACTGCCCCTGCTTTGGGGGTGTTGGGGCACAGTGTCAGGGTGCAGAACTGCCCTGGTTTGGAGTATGGGGGTGTTGGAGCACAGAGCTGCTCCTGCTTTGGGGTCTGGGGGTGTTGGGGCACAGAACTGCCCCTGGTTTGGGGTACAAAGGGTGTCAGGGTGTAGAACTGCCCCTGGTTTGGAGTATGGGGGTGTTGGAGCACAGAGGTGCCTCTGATTTGGGATACGAGGGTGTCAGGGCACAGAACTGCTCATGATTTGGGGTCTGGGGGTGTTGGGGCACAGAGCTGCAGCTGGTTTGGAGTCTGAGGGTGTTGTGGCACAGAGCTGCAGCTGGTTTGCAGTCTGGGGCTGTTGGAACACAGAACTGTCCATGGTTTGGAGTATGAGGGTGTCAGGATGTAGAACTGCCCCTGGTTCAGGGTCTGGGGGTGTTGGAGCACAGAGGTGCCTCTGGTTTGGGGTATGAGGGTGTCAGGGTGCATAACTGCTCCTGGTTTGGGGTCTGGGGGTGTTGGGGCACAGAACTGCCCCTGGTTGTGCACTGTGTGGGGCGTCAGGCCTTCTCCCCATCACCCCCGGGCACTGAGGGCAGAGTTGAGACCCTCACCCAGAGGGGGACAGAGGGATGCCCTCCCGGGATGGAGCAGCACTGCGGTGGAGGGCAGCTGTTGTGGGCACAGCCGGAGGGGTGCAGCGGGGGCAGAGCGGGGGCACATCTGGGAGCACGGGGGGGCTCTCCCTGCCCACCCCCACTCTCAGTGGGCAGCGGCGTGTCTGGGCGGCAGGGGGTCACTCGGAGAGCCGGGAGGAGGCAGAACCCTGAGCGCTGCATCGCATCGTCGCTGCACAAAGTGTGAGCCCTGAGGGGGGGGTCCGAGGCTCCGAGCCCGTGCGGGCAGCACCGCGCTGCCGCTGCTCCACCGCTCGCGGCCCCGTAGCCGAGCCCCAGCCCCGCGCTGCCCTCCGGCCGCGGCTCTGCGGGAGGGGCCGCGGCCGTCCCTGCAGCCGGGGATGCGCTCCTGCGGGTGCCGGCGTGGAGCCGTGTTTTCCCCTCGAATCCGCCCCGGTTGGGGTCTCTGATGCGGCGCCAGCACGAGCCCGGAGCTCCGGTTGCCATGGCAATGCCTGAGCGTTGAATCCAGGACTCAATCCGGTATTGTCACCGCGCGAGCGAGGAGGAGGCGCCGGGCGGAGAGGAGCAGCCTTCCTTCCACGCGTCCCCGCGCCGTGGGTCGGGGCATGGAGAACCCGAGGGCGTCCGGCCCGGACGGGGGACCCCCAGCGCCCGCCCCGTGTCCAGCGAGGAGCCGCCCCCCCCCAGAGCTGCGTTAGGGCGGCGGAGCCCGGATCCGGCGGAGGAGCGGAGGGTGGGTGCCGCGATCGGCGGGGGGCCGCGCCGGGGATGAAGGACTGAGCTGAGCTCCGGACTCGCCTCTTCTGCACCCCCCGCCCATGGCGCACGCGGAGGGGCCGCAGCTGCCGAAGCCGTGAGCCGAGGGCCGAGGCCCCGTCGCCCGGCACGGGGCAGAGCCGGGGATGTGAGCCGGACCGCGCTGCGCTGAGGGCGGCGGAGCCGGGCAGCGTGCAGCCCCCGGCCCGGCCCCGCACCACCAACACGATGAAGAAGTTCGCCTCCACGCGCAGCCTCAATAAAATCCTGCAGCAGTGCGATTCCTCGTCCCGCGAGTACGAGGAGATCCAGGCGGTGGAGAAGAAGTGGCACCTTCACCTGGCCACGCCTCGTAAGTTCCTGGACAAGAAGTGCAAAATGCCGTCTCTCTTCCTTTCAGCTCCGCCGCCTCCCAAGAGAGCGCCCAGCACCACGCTGACGCTGCGGTCCAAATCCATGACGGCTGAGCTGGAGGAGCTGGGTGAGCGGCGGGGCGGGGGGCGGCACGGGTGGGCGCACAGCGGGTGGGCGCACACAGCATCCGTCCCTTGTGCTCCTGCTGCTGGGGGGGGATGGGGAGGGGCTGGCTTGCGGCCGCGTGGAGCCATTGCAGCTCGTTGGGATGGGGCAGGGGGCCCCTGCGGGTTCGGACCCTTCGCTCGGGCTGCCTGCCCCCGTGTGCCGTGCCAGGTCAGAGCTGTAGCACGGCTGGGCCGGTGGAGACCTTACAGAACCACGGAATAGGGTTGGGACCCCCCCAACCCTACCTCTGCCGTGGGTTGGGTGCCCCCCACCAGGGCTCATCCGTGGCCTCGGGCACTTCTAGAGGTTGGGGCACTGCTCTGTGCCAGGACCCCCCCGCTGCCGCCTCCCCTTACACACACACACACACACACACACGCTCCCTCACACATTTGCTGCCACGAAGCGTCCTGCCCACGGCTCCAGCTGCTTTGGCACCGCAGCTCACAGCTCCATCTCTGTGCTCTCTCCACCCCCTCCCTCCATCCCCACATCCGCGCGCCCCGTGACGAAGCTCTT